ACAAACGCAAAAGGGGTCAAAGCAGTGTGGTGGAATGGGGTAGCGCAGCCCCTTCCCACCGGAATGCTGCCGGTGAACCGCAGCGGGACCCCGGCGTTCCCACTCCGAGTCCCAGCCCGCTTCTGCTGGGTAAACACCGTTTCCTCACATTACGCGGAACGAAAAGTTTATCTTTTACTAAATGTGAGCCAGAGTTTACTGTAAAGAAATAGGGAGCTCCAGTCACTTGGGCTTTGAAGAGTTCGGAGGAAGAAGTCATAGCTCAGCACTTGCGTTTAAAGGCATGCTGTCCGTGATGTCCATTTTCTCCTTTCACCGGGTGAAACGGTAAACTTGGAAAATGGATGTTTGCAGAAAAGACTCTGAGATAGCCTCATCGACAAAACCTTCATACCTGTTTTGATAAACTAATTGTAGCCATCCTGTAATAGTTAAATATTTCAAAGTTAACAAGAACTGGGGAACCCGTTTATTTTAGGAGGTATGAAAGCAGGCCGATTTGTCAAGTTGAGACCGTTCAACAATTTGGTTGCTAGGCTAGGAGAGAGGACGGATGGTCTTTGGAGGACGAGGTATGTTTTGAAAATAATACGCAAATTTAAATTGAGGGATAGTTGCCGTGCAATCTTTCTAAACTGTACAGTTTTGTAAGAGTCAAACTTGTTTGTCCGAAGCAATATGTTCTTGAATGTATTGTGGAAGTATACATTAGACATTGCCCTCATCAGAAAGAATGCGCCATAAACTTATAAATAAACTAGTTAATTTGAGATCAAAAAGCCACAGAGATAAGAAACTTATGGCCAACTAGCACGCACACTTACCTAACCAAAAAGGTCCGGCGCAGCAGAAGATGTGCCACACAGGAGATGCAGCCCTGTAAAAATTTGAGGCACCTTTTGCAGTAATAACATGCTTTGCACTTCATCAGTTAGTTAGTCTATATTGGGGAGGAGGGGGCGCTGAACCTCCCATTTCAGTTTCTCTTAATAAACCTTGTTTTTTCATAAGAATATTTTAATTTTAAGGTCTGCTTAGAGATTCCAGGTGTAGGTTCACTACAGAAAGAAAGTATGCTTGTTTGCCTTTTGCATGTCCAAGAAAAATGTGCCCAAGAAACACCTTGGGTCAAGCTTCAAGAATGTAAGAGAGTAGTTCTGTATTGTTTTCTGAGTCTTTTGAAACTTTATGCAAACATTAAATAAATCGAGCCTTTAAACCGATGAAGTAAGTTTTAACCTCATTTTACAAAGCAGGATCAAATGTGCAGGAAGAGGTCAAATGAAGAATGAGAAGCTGAGCATAAAATCTTCATTCTGTAGCCCAAACTTCCCATCTAATATGCTAATTTTTTTACTTTCTCTCAGAAGTACTCATATTCCAGATATTTTCAGTATGGAATCAGCTACATTCAATTTTCCTTCTTGTTAACTTGTTTCACGTGATGGTATATACTTAAAATAGCATCTGTCTTCCCATGTGTTACGACACATTTGCTCTATGACTTTCAATTGTTTGAGAGGTGCTTTTTGCCACAGGTAGCGCTTCCAAAATTTCCTCTGTAACCATTGTTACCAGTCCAAGATAGCCCACACGTGTGCTTTGGGCACGGACCGTGGCTATTTTACAGGACTCCAGAGCACTTTGCCCCCAGTCATGAGCAGTAAATAATAATTAACACTAGCAGCTGTGCTTTTTGAATGTACTTATACAATCACTCTACTCTTAGCTTCAGAGATCTTCTGACTTTAGAGATACACATACAGTGTTTCTAAAATGCTGAAAAAGCTCTTAAGCCAGCTAAATTTGGGATTTTGATACCTGTTGCTAACTGTGTGGTTTGCCTTTGCTGAAAACAGACGTGAACTTGAGGTCACATCAATATCATCTACAGTAGCTAGCCTTATCACCTCATTATATTATACTTTACCGAGGAGATTTCTCAAGCAAGAAAGGAAAGGTATTGTATAATGACCTATTGCCACTTACGCAACACTTGCTGCAATTGCTGCAACTACTGATTGTGGGGTAAGCCGAATATATCATCTTCTATGTGGTGATTAATGAGTTCCTCTGTGGTTTTTTTTTCTAGCGCTGTGCTCAAGTGTTTACTTGGAAGTATATCTCACATGTGAGCCCAACCCAAAAAGGATGTAATCTACGCAGATAAAAAAACCTGACAGGGAAACATAAAAAGCAACTAGCACTGCCTTTTAAAGAATACAGCATGGTTATCGATACTTCTTTTTCCTGAGGTGGAGAAAAGCTAGGAGGAATGGATAATTGCTAGCCTTTTGCAAGAGGGATAGTTATTCTTCTATTTGGGAACTGAAGGCATAGTGAATTGCACCGCTGTGTGCTGGGGAACAGCCGTAGAAGACAATGCCACAGGAAGAATGACGGGACATGCAGTGTTGAGGGGAGGAAGATGTAATAAGATTTCCTTAAAGAAATCAAGAGAAGTTAAAGAAGTACAGAAAGGATGGTAAAATTTAGATGAGCAGACTTTCGCATGCAAGTGCAGTGTTTGCAGTATCTTTGTGTCCACAATTAGGCCATCTACAAAAGCCTATTTTATATTTAAACAAATGAAAAGAGTAAGTAAAGTTGCTGTTGTCATCCTGTCTGGTAGCCTTGTACTTGAGTCTGGGCACAAACCAACTCTGTAGGTTCAGTTCTGAAAAAATGAACTTATGTTCAAAATGTACAAAAAATGAGTACTGTGTGTAGACTACACTTCTTCTTAACATTTATGATAAAGAGTTGCTGCTGCTGTTCTTGTTTAATGCCAGATTTTATTTTAGTGAGGAGAACTAGGTTCACTGTCAGACAGAGCACGGATATTTGAAAAATCTTGTCTAAGATAGCTTTATAGCCCTGTGTTTGTTAATTGTATTTTTAAAAAAGTCAAAGCTCACTTCGTTACTACTCACTGGCAGTAACTCGCTTTCCCCTTCCTACTCAGCTTAAACTGTATCTGTTTGGAATGTTACGTAAAATACTTCCATCTTGTCTTCTCTTGAAGAGGAATGTACAAGCTTGCTTTTTGTTTCTTTTCAGCATTCAGTATGGCTTCTCCAGCTCTACTCATGCGTGTGGTCGCCTCTGCGTATTCTGTTGCGGAAAAAGCTGCAACAATTGTTAGAAATGTAATGGCTGCAGGAGATCTGGGGATAGTGGAGAAGGTATTACTTTTACTTTGTTCCAATTTAGTTTCTCTTATTAATGCTGAGTTAGATACAGGTCAAAGTCGTATTTTTGAAGATCAGCAACTGGGGAAGGAAATACAGTCCTCACCTCTCTGATACAAGAGATATTCCTTATTAAAGGATTAAAAGAGCACTGGAGAAGTGTCTTTTGACCAGTATTTCTGAAGAATGTTCGGACACTTAAAAGAAACACACCATAATTTTGTCCTTATTCCCCTCACAAAACACAAGCTTTGGATAGAATGTCAGAATTCGTAATAATGTCTCTTCCCATTAAATTCCATACCTGTGTTCTAACAACTGTAGTACAGCTTGAAGTACTGTGCCCTTGATGAATTTTGGATTAGGATAAATCAGTGTTTAGTTTCTTAAAACAAAAAAGAACCTTAGGTTTTATTGTAAATCAGCGTTTTCAAAATAAATTCGGAGCTTCAAATTTAATTCTAAATAGAAAACAGAAATGAAATTACAGTCATCTGCATGAAGTTCTTAATTTGCTGTTAGTTAGCTGCACTGATGAGCCAGGATCTTTGTTTTGACTACAGTACTAGGGTAGGTGGAATTAACTTTTGACGATAATTCTAGCTTGCTAGGTATGTCACAATATTAGGGACTGCATTAAGTATCTCTAATATTTTTGGTCTTTACATTGAAGTAATTGCTGGTATTTACATTTTTCTGGTAGTAAGCACTTTCAGGCAGTTGTGAAGAAAAGCCTGATCCTTTATGACTTTTATTGTCAGTTCAGACAGTAGATGCAAAAAGTTTTTTTTTTCCCCATTTGGTCAGTTCTATTTACCACTGTGAAAACATTTGCAAGTTTTTCTTGCTCCCTTTTTTTCCTAAGCAATTAAAATCAGGTGTATGGGGGAGAGAATTAAAAAAAAAAAACCCTGGAAAGTAACAATCTGTTTTCAAAAGTACTTAGATGCACAGCAGGATTCTCAGACACGTAAGTAGAATATACGCTCCCACATAACCTGCTTTTAGGTTCTTGGAAAAACTAATGCAGCTTCACTACAAGAAAGCCTTAAAATACTTGCATCCAGAGGTACAAAGGAAGCACTGTCTGTACTTTGATTAACCAGTTAATTTTAAATGCATAAACAAGTTTCATTAAGCTTATTTTTTAAGAGTCCAGCAAGCTTAAGGTAATTTGAACTAAAACTAAATGATCTAAAACTTTTATCCATTTAATTTGGTGTCACTTTAAAAAAATGCATGTGTATTAGTATTATTTCCCAGTAAATCAGAAATGCATTGCTCAATCATTTTCTAACATAATAAAACCAGCAAATGAACACATTTTAAGCTCTGTAACCAATTAAGTAAATAATTATAAATACAGTATAACAAAAATTATCGAAAGTAACAGGTGATGTTGGTTCTAAATAAGACTGGTTATACATACTTTTTTTTTTAAATGAAAACTACAAACACACAAAATTAGATGGAAAACAAAACAACAGGAAGAGGTTCCTGTTGGAGGGACTAGCGATCTCAAAATTCCTGCAAGCTTCTCGTCAAAGGTGCTGGTGAAGAACGAGGAAGAATGCAAGAGAGAGAACCTGTACGTGCCTCTGCTTTACAGTCTGGAGGGAAGAGATGCACAAGAACAGAAAGTGCTGCTTCTCATCATTCATCCTCTTTCTGCAGTCAGCAAACATGAAGACCAATTCCAGCTGGTCTTATTGAAAGCTTTAGAAAAGCTAGGAAGACAATGATGTTCCACCTTTTCCCTCAACACATTGACCTCCCATCCATTTATCTAGATGAGGAAAAATAGTTCAAGGACAGTTGAATTTTTAGCTAGCTCCTCTCCTTCCTCTCCTGATGTCCAGAGTTTTCTGTCCCCCAGTCAGCTCTAAGCTCTCCATTTATATTGCTTCTCCTTGTAGCATTTTTATTTTCTTTTTTTTTTCCCAATTGGTAGGTAGGCATTTTGTCCAGCCATTCTTACGTTATTGATGACTGTTTTGAAGAACTACTTCATACTGTTTTATTAGGCTGGTGTCCTGGAACAAAGGACATTCTCTGCAATAACTTGATCTTTCCGAGTCTAAACTCAGTGTCAAATTCAACCAAATTTATCAGGGGATGAGAGGGAAATTTAAAAAAAAAAAAATAGCAAGTTTCATAAAAATAGGCAATTGGATAAAGGGGCAGACTAGGTTTTGAACATGCAAAAATTAACCCATAACATGATTCTAAATGGAATATTCCATTCCTATGGCTAATTTCTGTAGCCAGATAAAACAATTTTCATGTTGTCACCAAATAAGATACAAGCAGATAAAATAAAATTTTTGTTTGATTCAACTAAGATGCAAATCCTTGGATAAACTGGCTTTCTTAACTCCTGTCCTAACAGAAGTATTTCTTACTGGGATTCCATCTCCGGACCTAAAGGGCTCCTCCATTCATAGATACATGAAGATTAAGGCCAGAAAGTATTAATAAGTTACCCACTTCCACTATATAGCAGGTTATTTATGTTTAAGACAAAATTACTGTAACCCACCTGGCAACGTATGTTTGGCTACACTGCATCTTTTGGGAAGGCTTTCAGTCACTGTTTCACATGTCATCTTGAGACACCAAATCCACCATTTCCTCTCTAGTATTTTTGCTGGAAAATATGTATGGGAATTATTGTCAAGTTCAATTTCACTGGTTAGCTTCTGGCCCTCCTTGGTCTTTGTCTGCTAGACTAAGGATCCGTTCACTATTTAGAAATTTATACATCATAACTGTTTCCTTTTTTTTTTTTTTAAACAAGCTAGATTAATTGGACCTTTAAATCACCTTTTACTAACACCTTCCCTGTATTTCTCCTCTTTCCTAATTTGCCATGTCTCTCCAGTGAGCCTTAAAATATTTATTTTTTCCTGGTAACATCTTAATTTTTGCTTTTCCCTCTTGTATTATATCTGGGTTCATACTTGTATTAATTTATTCTGTACATAGTGTAGTATTTGCACAAATACATATTCAGTACAATTGCACCAGTGCATGAGAAGAACACAGCATGTAAATATTGTTCTAATATCATACCAGTCTACCTTAGCTCTGGGGTGTACAGGGAAGCTCTGCTTGTTTCAGTTGTTAGCCTGCCTCTTTCAAGATCACTTACTAGGTTGATGATTTATCAAATTAGACTTCTTTTTCATTACAAGGTAGAAATTCAGGGTGACATATGGGCTATTGTACTGGGTTTTGTTGTCGCTCTTTTGAAATACACAAATTCCTCTCCATCCTTTGACAGACCGGAGCCAATGACTTGCAGACCAAAGCTGACCGACTGGTACAAATGAGCATTTGTGCTTCCCTGGCACGGAAGTTTCCCAAGGTGACAATCATAGGAGAAGAAGTAAGTACCTAATTTATTTCATACTAACAACTTAACTTGCTGTAACTTGCAGTGGAATTTGCTTTGGCAGGTTTTAGGAAATCTTTTTTTTTTTTTTTTTTTTTTTTTTTTTTTAATATTTCCACCCCATTTCATCCGTCCATTGCATTAGCTTTGTCAAGTAAGTGGCAAGCAAATCCACAGTTCTAAGGCAAATCAAGGTGAGTCCAACACCTTTTACTAATAATTTTGAGAATCCTGTTGTTAGGACCTGCCCGCTGATGAGGTAACTGAGGAATTAATTGAAGATGGTCACTGCGAAGAAATACTGAAGAGAACTTGTCCTGCTCAGTACACAGGAATTAAAGAGGAAGAGGTAATGTGGTAATGCTATACATATGTCTTCATAGTTTACACTCTATCTACATTACTTATTGATTTTAGCTAAGAATGTATTAAGAAAAAGGGTTATTTCAGTGTTGCCATTTTTTCTTTTTGGTTTGAAAACTGAAATGTAGTCATGAGAATCACACTTCCAGAGCTGGAAATGCTGCATATCCCTGTGTGCAATAACGGGAAATGGAAATTTGCTTCTTACAACTTGTGATTCAAATTTATTTGGAAGGAATCTACTTTGGACATAAGAAAGTAATGTCACTTCCATGTTCAGTTTAAGACTTCACACCTCTATTAAGATATTTGCTGAGAAGTTCCAGTCAGTTTTTAAGCTTTTTTGTGTAAAATACTATTGTAGGCTTCAGTCATATCATAATGTTAAAAATTTGAATCTATTTCCTTACTGCCGTAAGGAAATAAAAGCACTAAAGCAAAATATATACTTTGCATGGTAATTTACATGATTTGTATTTGTTAATTTTCCTTATTTTTTTATTTTTAAAGCTTGTAATATGGGTTGATCCCTTGGATGGAACCAAGGAGTACACTGAAGGTTGGCTTCTCTTTTAATTCTGCTGATTCAGAAAAAATTATAGCAATGTAATAAAGTAGCATGTACATGTAAACAGTTTTCTGATAGAAGTTACATACAGTATTGTTTCATAAGGCTGATGTTGTTTCTGTACTTTTTGAGTTCTATGGAATTTTTTAATCATTCCATTCAGTTCTAACCAGTATTGAATATTCCTGATGGGCTACTGAGTGCCCACCAGTTTTTATCATTTCAGGGAGCAAAGGGCTCCCTTTGATTGCTGGCAGGTTGTCTCAAGTTTTTAGTCAAACTTACAATTTCGCATATACTTTGAATTGAGGGACTAAATCTCCCATTCGCACAGGAATATGCTCAGTTATATTTACATCCTCCTCTTCAAACAACCCAAATACCGGAGCTGTATTTGTAGCCCTTTCAAAATAAAACAACTTCTTCCCCAAAATCATAATTCTTCAGTTATGGGCAGAAACTGTTTTCAGCAAAGCCTAATTTGTGTCCATAGAAATAGACCCTAAAATGAAGAAAAAAAGAAAAACCTCCAAAACCAATATGCCAAAACCTCACTTTAGCCTCCTGCTGCATCTTTTAGTTGATCAATGTAAAATCTTTTAGGCAGATTTTTTCCCCATTTCCTGAAAAGAGATGTACAACTGTCAACAAATTGCTAGTTTTGAATATATATATTTCTCTTTTTCAAGCATAACTACATTCATATTATTTCCGTACAGGTCTCCTTGACCACGTAACGGTTCTTATTGGAATTGCTTACGGAGGCAAAGCAATAGCAGGAGTTATTAACCAGCCATATTACAACTATGAGGTATTAAATGCATTGGTTTGTTTAAAAGCATTAGGTGATTTCTAACTGTCACTTCTAAGCCATTTCTAGTTAGCACATTTTCAACTGAAAAGCAGTGTGTAGTGGACTTCATGTTGTAATATAAGGAGTGTTGTTTTTATTAAATATACGCAATTTTGAATGTTGGTCCCTGAATCTCAGGGACCTACTAACAGCCATACTGAATCCTGAGGCGTGTATAATATACTAATATAGTGTATATTACATAGGTACTGTACATATTACTACAGTACATATAAAGAACATATTGTAAAACAAGTACAGATTGGTATTTTTGCAGTCTTTGCTAGAAATTCCTTAGGAAGCCCATGCGATAGGTGCGTTTGTGATGTGTGGTAACTGCCATAAATCTGCAGCCCTAAATAAACCAAGCGTACCTGTCACTGACAGCTGGGTTGGAGTGTATCAGGCCAGGCTTCAGGTTTAAGTCCAGGACGGCCAACTTACAGGCACTTACACGCGTTTGGAGATTATTTCAGTATTTTCTGTGAGGGGCAGAAAAAAGCCCATGATGCAGCCTGATTAAACAAACTTACTAGAATTTAAAGAAAAAGCTCTTGAGCTGATGTAATGCATATCATCAGCTGATTCTATACGTTCTATGTGATATGTATGATGAAACATTTAAAATGACAAGATATTTTCAGTTACAGATTGTGCCTGAAGTACAGAAATATACAAATATTAATTTGTCAGTCATTGGAGGCAGGATGTAATGCACCACCACAATGTCACAATGTCAGATAAGAAAAGAGTAAATGATGTCATTGCCTTAGAGGGAATAAGAGCCAATTTTTCACTCTGGGCTCTAGAGTAGTTCTTTTTAAGTGCCATTGTTTAAATGTATAACCCAGTATTAATATTATACTCCCTGATACGCAAAGATGTCTCTAGGTACTCCTTTCCATTTGTGCTTTAAAAGCTGGTCACTATGATTAACCATCACCTGGACCTGTGTACCTTTCTCGTAGGCAGGAGCTGATGCTGTGCTGGGCAGGACAATCTGGGGAGTCCTGGGCATAGGTGCCTTTGGATTTCAGCTCACAGAAGCACCTCCTGGGAAACACATCATCGTTACCACCCGTTCTCACAGCAGTACCCTGGTAAACGACTGCATCAGTGCCTTGAACCCAGACAGTGTCATCAGAGTCGGAGGAGCAGGAAACAAGGTATGAAAACTCAAAATCTTTTGTTTTTACTGGGAGGTGGTACCTTTGGAATAAGAAAAAGAATTTTTAAAGAAATCATTTGCTTACTTGCATGAACGTACAGGAGACTTCCTCCTCCTTCCCCAGCACAACTTCTCTTCCTAACATTCAGTCTGCTGTGAGGTAGAGAGAATTTGGTACAGGTATATTTGTAACCGTGGCCATGCTGGTCGTGGCTGAGGTCCATCTTCGTAGGGGAGAAAATAAAAAGTTCTAAGACCAGAATGACTAAATGCGAATTCAATTTAATCACAATTATTAGACATTACCTCCTGTTCATGTTATACAGTTTTTGTTCCAACTATCTAGCAGCAGCACATATGAAAGGGTAAAAATAGAAGCACGCAGTGATATTTCCTTTGCAAAACTTCTCTGCATACAGGGAATACTCATTTGCTACAGTTTTTAAAGCTTAGTTTTGTCATGGCTGTCAAAAACAGACCCTCCAATCTCTTTTCTCCAACATGTGCAAGGCCCAAAATGGCACCAAGACAACATGGAGATAGTTTCCACTTTATTTTTTTAGTACTTGCACAAGGTGGGAATTCTTGTTTCTGAAACTAAAGCAGATTTTCATCCTATAGACTGTATTTATAACAATCAAAAATAGGTCATTCAGAATGGTAATACAGTATATAGCTTTCTAAATCTTAATACAATTTCTTGTAATACCGGAAAGAAAATGGCTGGTGTTCCTTTTCTGACCGTAAGTACATAGAATAAACTGATCAGATCCCTATTTCCTGGTGTTATTTTCACCCATTTCTAAACGCCTAGATCCTTTGCAATGATTGCCACTCTCTATTCACAACAGATCATTCAACTTATAGAAGGCAAGGCATCTGCTTATGTATTTGCCAGTCCTGGGTGCAAGAAATGGGATACGTGTGCACCTGAAGCTATTCTACATGCTGTGGGAGGTAAGTTAATACCATTCAAAATTCCAAGATAAATGAAACTGCATCAATTTAAAGTTATTTAAACTTTTCATAGAAAAAAAGAATTTCCAAACATGTCTTTGGAAAGAAAAATGACAGTACGTATGTATTTTTAAATAGTCACGATTCGCTAGGAGCTTTGAGCCCTTTGAAATCGACAGTAACTCCAAAGGGACAACAAATTATGCTCTGGAAAGCATGATATGATCTGTTTTGCCCTGGACTAATACAGTCAATAACTGTCAAATAATGAAAAAAGCCAAATTCCAAAACTTTGGGTATATTGATTTTAGTATTTTCAAAACAAACGGCTTTTTTTCTGTTGGCTACTATTTCACAGTAAAATCACGCTGTCCTACTAACTGGATATAGTAGTATGTTATTAGTAACATATTACGTAATATGTGGACATTGAATTGTTTAAAACAACAACAATAGGCCAAATCATGCAGTTGTTCCTCAGATGTACAAACTCCAAACTTGAGCCGTTCACGTAATTCAGTAAAATTAGCGGTCTCCAGCCAACATAAGCCACTTCACCTTTCTAGGGGGTAAGGGGTTAGAGAAGTTATGAAAAGTCTCACTGACAAGAATTTGAGTATTATTATTATACTTTCTCTGCTGTTCACATTGATAGACCTTTTACCACCATGTGCTAAAATTGTGGGGTTTGATCTCCTAAATTCTGTCAAGCAAGGATAACAGGCTTCATAATGACATCATTTAACTCCTCTGCAGTCTCTAGCGTTGATAACTGGGATAGCTTTAAACAGGTTAGCTCAGGCACAAAAAAGTAACCAATCTGGGGCAGCACAGTGCTGTATTTAGCCTCCTCGTTATGTAGGTATCTCGTGGTTAAATTAGCTTGCAGAAAGATCTGTGTTGCTCTTGCTAAGTGATTTCTAGAAACTCATTTAAAACCAGCTGGGGTATTTCTATACGATGTTAGAGTTTGTTGTATAGACTTACCCTGGCTTTTACTTGAACTGAGGATTTTTCTTTCCTTCTTGCCAACGGCCAATGTATAAACTACTCGGGAAGCATTTTAATTAATCCGTAAGAGAGAGACGTTGTTTTCCTTTTTCTGAAACACAAGGAATTTAAGTATTGCTGAAAGAAAAGAAAACCATTAGTTATTTGATTTCGGTCAATAAAAAACTGTTGCACTTAAACTGGGAGCAAAGATATTTCACATCTGAAGACAGGCATGTGTACCCCAAAGACTGTCTGTTTTTTTTAGTTATGTCACTTGTACTAATCCTCCTTTTTCTGAAACACAAGGAATTTAAGTACTGAAAGAAAACCATTAGTTATTTGATTTCGGTCAATAAAAAACTGTTGCACTTAAGGAGCAAAGAAAGATATTTCACATCTGAAGACAGGCATGTGTACCCCAAAGACTGTCTGTTTTTTTTAGTTATGTCACTTGTACTAATAAAACAGATTCTCTCTCTCCAACTCCTGTTTGCTGGAATAATTTTTTTTTCTTTTTTTTGCAGGCAAGATAACTGATATCCATGGAAATGCATTCCAGTATAACAAGGAAGTGAAACACATGAATTCAGCTGGGGTCCTTGCCGCTTTGCGAAATTATGACTATTATGCCAGTCGTATTCCTAACACCGTTAAACAATCTCTTGTGCCTTAAAGCAGTAAAGCATCTTCACAATAAGAAAGAAAGAAAATAACCAAGCTTGAAATTTGTTTTATAGAATCTGAACCAAATTCTTCCATTAAGGTATTCAAAAATTTCAAAATTACATACAGAATCTCTAGGTATATGTTGGATCAGATTGTTTTGCTGTGTTTAGCAGACAACATCAAAAAAGTCACATTTCTTCAATAGCAGTTTTCCATATTCTTTGGGAGTATTTATTCTTCATGTGGTATGACTGTGCTGAATATACTGCTAATCATACATTACAGTCCAAAAATCATCTTAATATTCAGGGCACAAAATCATGTTAAGTCATTTACCTGATCTTGCTCAATGTTTTTTGTTGTATGTAATCAACAAGGGTTTACTGTGTTAAATACAAATGGACTAAGAATTTGCCTAGATGGATTAGCCCATTTATCATAAAGTTGACAGTTTTGATTCTTAGACGTGAATCTTTGAATTTGTTGGTCTGCACTCAGTTTTGGGATGGCCGAGATTGCTATTTGTGGTGAGCTGCGTTGTCCGAGTTTTGCAGGAGCGAGGACACAGTCCAGCTGGACCTCTGACGTCTCAAACTGGGGTTCCCGGATCATTGGATCCATTGAGGATCAGAGAAGCGTTAATACAGCTGGGTTCAGGACACCTCAGTTGAGGAGAACCCAAGGAAACTGCAACAGGGGGAGGAGTTCCCAGCACCTCTCTGATGATCTGAAATGCCTCTGTCGGGGTCTATGCCAACCTCAGTCTTGGACAGCTTTGGGCATCCTAGGTCACTTTGTCATACATGGGGACAAAGAAATGCTGGAACGTGAAATTTTTCATGTCCAAATTTTGAGAGAAACAAAGTCCAGGTGCCTTTCCAACAGCCCCAAGAGTTGAAGAACGTGACACTACCACTTCCCCCTCCTGTGGAACATAGGCATGTTAGGGGAGGGGAGAGAGCAGGGGACAAGATGACCTAAAATGAACTTAAAAATTGGAGAGCCTGCTTCAGTCAGCATTCCCATAGGCGTGGGGGTTAGGAAAGCAGGATTCAACTGTTCGGTCCACTTGAACACAAAAGAGAACAAGAAGTAAATTACATATGACTAGCTAAAATTGGCAACCTTAGCCAAAACAGATGAAGTCTCTTCAAGCTGAATTTAGGATTCTGGAGTATCTTGAATCAGTGGGGCTCCTATGTACTTTGTTTTCTCCAGATTTTGTGACCCAAGTCCCTCATCCTCAAATCAAGGAGTCTTAGGGACTCCCTTTCCCTAACAATGTGACACATACTGAGGTATGCCATGAAGAGTTGCCAGTTTCAACGGACAACACATAGTTGTGCTTTTCTTCCTGTTCTCTGTGTGGATAGAAGAGTGGTATGTGTTGGGTTCTTGGGGAGGGGGTGGTGTCAGGGAGGGTGCCTCAACTTGGCTGCTTGCTTAGGTAAAGACTGAATGCCTAAGCTCTCCCAGCACAATTCTTTTTTTTTTGCCTTAACCTCTGCTGACACTAAGAATTGCAAAGTAGCCTGCAAGTTGCACTGCACCCATTCTCACTTCTTCTCTGCCCACAAGTTTAAGTCCTCCAAATAACTACACTCTTGGTCCACTCAAACCATCTTTATGCTAGCACTGAACTTCAGGATACAAAAAGCTGTGTTTTCCATAAAGAAGATAATTTCAGTTTTCAACAGTGTGTTCAAGTTATAAACCATCTTTATGCTAGCACTGAACTTCAAGATACAAAAAGCTATGTTTTCTGTAAAGAAGATAATTTCAAAATTCAGTTTTCAACAGTGTGTTCAAATTACTTCTCCTTTCATCACACAAGGTATTTAACATCTCTGATTTCCTTAGAGTCCTTTGATAAGATCCTCTCCTCACAGTAGGGTAACACCAATGAGACTTCATTGGCTTAAAGTTGGCTCTATTTCCAGCAAGCAGGAACATCTTGACACCAAAAGATATTAACGAAGTAACTCTTACTAAAGCGTTCCCAGTCTCTCCATGTGTACACACGGAAAAGGATCTAAGGAAGCTCTTTCCTTAGTGAGGTCATCTTATCATAACATCTACAGATAAATTAGCAAGATTATCACTTACCTCATTCTATCATCATCAGCCAGTCCATAATGCTATCATGACACTGGATTAAAGCTGCATATATAGGAACAACACATGCTTCTAATCCTTTCATCTATAGCTTACCTTTCTTCTCCTTCCTCAAGCACATGACTAGTAAGAGCACGCAAGACAGATTCAGCCTGCTTTAATTAGAGCCTTCTTCATATTTTGGCCCATTGTAAGTTTAATCATTCCACATATTGATTGCGACTGAAGTTTGAACCACGTAGCAAGTACAAGATTAATCTAATTTCACTGCCTCAATTATACATAATTCTCACCTTTATCTTCTGCAGAATTCTTGGATATGCGTGCTTTAGTAGTTGCATCAAAATCTGCATGTGAATTTGCAAAATGCATTAAGATAAAATGTAGAACGACTTAGACAACACAAAGCCTGCCTTAGTAAGTCTTTTCATGTAATCATTAAAATACAAAGTCAAGTACAGAACCCACTGTTAGTAATCTTCATCTATGTCTCTATATCCTTATTTTCATCTGAAACTTGCTGTATGTTTGAAAATTTCCTCAGCATAAGACCCTTTCTAATTCTGCCATAATGTATCTCTCTGCTCATTTACAGTCACCTCAATGGGAGTAGAAGACACATGGCATACACTGGCTTCTACCTGATGTGTAAAGACGCTTATGTACGGAACCACTTTCCACACTTATAGAGACTGTAGAACTGCTAACACAGGAAAACGTTATGGAAGGTTGAGATAAAATTCAGCAGCAGCAATCAAGGATAAAAGCCAGCACATAAGGTGTAGTCATGCTCTGGCTGTACCACTGTGCCCACTGCACAAAACAGCGCCGGTCCACCAATCAAGCATTTGAGAATTTCTCTGCTGGCACGTTAGGTGCTATAGTCCCATCTATAAAATAGACTGGAGGCAAAAAAAAAAAAAAAAGCACAGGACAGTGACGCTGCATTGTCCTTGTAACAATGTGAACTTGAGCGTCTCCTGTGAAAAACTGCTGACACAGTATTTTTGTAATTCATTCCAAGACTAGCTTGGCCCACTGCAAAATGTGCGTGTTTGCGAGGAACGTGACAAGTCACATTCTATGAGAACAGATGGGTTAAACCACTGTACTCAAATGTGTCGGTGTATGTTGCACCGTTTGATTTGTTTGTATCGTTACGTACAGAAGAGGGACTGAAGCTGTCTCTACAGCTGCTGCCAGACGCCTGGCTCAAGAGTTTTTACAGTTAACTCCTGCAAAGCTCTCGGGAAGGGTCTGCCTAAGCGCCGGGGCAGCTGTGAGAGGAGAAGCGGCCGGCATCAGACACCGCTCCCGCCGGTGAGCACCCGGCCCCAGCGAGGCCAACG